AAAAATGGTTGATAATTTGAAAGTTTGAAACGAAGATCAAGACAGAAAGCAATAGAATAAATAGGCGGAATGTAGACAAAATGATCTTTAAATCTAAGAAGCACAACAATTAAATTATAAGTATTGTTCCAACGAATAGAAGGATTTTTAAGAAAAACACAATATCTTACATTTTTGGACCCCAAATAAACACGTCAGTGCATTTGCAGTGGATTACTACCCCAAGTCAATCTAGTGGAGGCAAGAGTCTAACTTAGCGGTGTTCAAGCTTCCTAAGAATCAACTCTTCCAGCAATACATCGTTCCTCATCAAAATTGGTATCATTTACCAGCTCTAGCTTGTTAGTTACCCTCCATTGTATCGCAAGCCCGCCACTGCTTCCATCCCTATCCACCACAAAATATGACTCAAAACCCAAAATCCTCCAAATTGCATCAACCTTATTACCGCTACATAAAGTTTCACACACAAAAAATAACATCCGGCTTGTGACACCGGACAAGTTCTCGGAGTGCCAAAACTGGATGCGGGTGACCCAATCCTCAACAATTCCAACTTAAGATAATCATTGGTCCTGGTGGGCCCGGAACCCATGATCCACCCCAAAAAATTTGTATTACTTCAAAATTTTCAAATGCATCCACCAAAGTACCAATCCATCATGCAAGTTTTCTCGCACTAAAAATGTGTGGCAATATAGGGCTAAAGTATGAGTATCGTTTCCACATAGATAGAAAAAGGGAATTAAGTTTTAAATAAATTCGATGATTAAAAATAAATAAAATTAATGCGAATGTGCGAGATTTGGATTTTTGAAAACAAAATTAAATGTGAATAAGCAATAAATCTATAAGGCTCTTTCTAATTAATGATAAAAGGGAATAGGGATTGATTCCGGGGTAATCAAATTTCAGGTTGATCAGGCTTAATCACATGAAAATTATTTAATTGAGCGACGCTGGTCAATACTATATTCTTACCGCTCTCGTGGCGTAGTGTACAATAATTTAGGGAACCAGACTAATCTCTCTTGTGACAAGTTTCTAAATTATAGCCAAAATGAGTAAGCATACGGCTCCCTAATCGTTACTAATCACTTGGCGTGCGGGGCCTGTCCGCCTGGCATGCGGACCTTCCAACTTGACTTTTTGGTCGTTCTTCTTCCCTTTTCACCTGCGTTTTCTCCCATGCTTGATATTTTTTTACTCTCTTCTTCAACAAATGTCTTCTTCACTTGTCGTGACTCCTCATTGCTTCATAATTGCTTTCGAAAGCGTTTCTAACTCTATAGTCAACCTCTCCAACGCTGGTGTCAAGCTCGATTTTCATGAATAATATCTCTAAAAACAAAAATGCAAACCAAAACCCGATAAACTATGACTTCAGCTAATTAGGTGCTTTGTGACCCATTTAAGCTATGAAAGGTATACGACATTACGACTTCTCAGTTCTCACTAAGAGAGAAAATCCTAATACTTCTCACGAAGAGACATTTTTTTTTAATTATAGATACATCCGGTAAAGGATAATTTGATCTTATTTTAATTACTTTTTTTTAAATACTTTTGGTTTTGTTCATTTAATACTACGTACTCCCTATTTAAGAGACGGCGTTGAGGAACATACATAAGTAGCAAACTCAATTTTATACTCCGTAGGAAATAGGAAAGTTGTTTAGACCTTAGACGAGGTTGTATAGCATTCAACCGTTGGATGCGAAATAGTCAACAGACCAAACTGGCCTAATCTCCCAGTTATTTAAATGCTAAACTAGCCGTTATAAACTCAACTTTATCTACTCATATTACTTCGTCTCCTTCTCTCTCTCTTTAACTCTTTATTTCTCTTTCTTAGAACGTCCACAAGATCTATTATGGCAATCGCAGTGGAATCATCTTCACCCCCTCCGCCTCTCATCGAGGTGATTCCTTGAAAAACTTTTCACTGAACAAGAATCTCTTTTTGAAAAACACGATTGTATCCTTTAAAATTCCATTTGCAGGGATCATCATCACCAGGACCTATGGGTCCCTCTCCATCTTCAAACGAACACTTCTGGAGCACTCTTCGTAGGCGGGTCGATACTCTCATAGAAAACCGCGAATCCATTGATCAAGTTTGTAGCTTTTTACTTTTGTTTTTCTTCTGGGTTGGTTTCAATTTTGATTCTTGCTTGACAGTAAAAATTATGGTTCTGTTTTGCTGAATGAATTGATAAAAAATGCGTGCAGACTGGGGGAGCAGAAGAAAGTTCAAAGAGAATGAAAGATGATGCTTTGCTGCTTCTCAGAGGGTTTGATTCAGTATCTTCCACTCTTTCCCAGCTTTCTGACAATCTTGAAAATGCCCTTCAGGTAATTAATCTCAGCCGTTGACTCCAAATTGACCTAAGTTTCAGCAAATATTAGAAATTGGTTTTAATGTGCTGTGTTAATAGGGGGCAAGAGATCTAGCAAACCCATCCACATTAACAGAAATACTTAGCTCCAATTTGGAGAAGTCCAAAAATGGAGAAACTAATAAACCAGAAGAAAAAGATGGGACTGATGAGATGGAGAACAAGGGGTCAAAGAGGAAGTTTGAAAGTTCAGATCGTCAAATTCAAAATTGTGGGGGTGATGATACTAAGGATGAGAATGTGAAGAGAGCCAAGGAATTGGGGAAGCTCAAGAAAGCCAGAACTGTAAGTCTCTCTTTAGTTATATCTGATTCATTCTTGATATAGACTGCTTGTAAACTCACATTGGTTAATGACCTTTATGTGCATATATATATATATATAAAGATTGCAATTTCAATGGCTGCAAGAGCGGCTGCATTTGCTAGAGAATTGAAGTCATTAAAATCGGATCTATGCTTTGTACAAGACCGGTGCTCGTTCTTGGAGGAAGAGAACAGAAAGCTCCGCAATGGAATTCCTGAGGGACTGGTCCCACCAGAAGAAGATGATGATCTGGTAAACTTTCTTACATCCACATTCTGAACTTTTATCTGTTACCTCTTTTATAGCAAGGTAACAATAACTTTTGATCAATTCTCTTTGCTTTATTCCCACGTTTGCAACACTATTATTGGTTTCTTGTCACTTTTATTCATCTCCACTCACGCCTATTGAATGGTTAGAGGATATCTGAGCAAGTGAGGTGGTAGGAGATTAGTGATATATAATGAATTAGTTAAGAGAAAATTCTTTAAATAGGATTAAAACATAGGCAAAATGTATAAATAGAATCACATTTGCTTTATTCCTAAAATAGGTCTCATTCACTCCTATTTGAGGACGTTGTTTTATACGGAGTACTTATAATAGGATCAAACAAGTCCTATTCTGGGAATAAAAAGCACAAGTATTCTATTTGTGTTCTTTTTCCATGTTCTAGTCCTATTTGCAGCAATTTTTTAATTAACTAAGGAGATATTAATTTTATGATATAACACTAACAACTAAAGTATTAGGAAATAATGACTAAAGTATTGCTCCTATAGTTCCAGTAGAAAAAATTATGACTAATTGTTATAGCTATGTACATTCCCAAATCCCTACCATCTAGCAACAACACTATCTATGCACATTCCCAAATCCCTACCATCTAGCAACAACACTATCTTTCGCCTCCCACGAGGCCATGACGGTTGTCATGGGAACCCTTCGGATGAACACTTCTCAGAAAAAGTCACTAGAAGATAATTGTTAGGAACTGGTGCCCGCTAGATTGGATGGTTTCAACGAAAATTGGGACTGTCATTTGCAGAGAGGGACTGAGGCATGTCACTAGTATTAAAAGTGAAATTTTTAGTCACTTTTTTGGAGCATTTTAAAAAGTGTTCATGCTTTTTTCTTAACAATATTCAAGTCAAAACTCCATGAATTAGGGAGACCAATTCCAAACCTCCTCTCCAAAATTCCCAAACGAACAAGTGGAAATTAGATAGCAAAATCATCATGGGGATTGAAAGTGTCAAGAACTCAGAGCCATGCCCCAAAAGTGAAAATAATGTACTGAATAGGAGGGTTTGTTCAGAAGCAGGGGCGGACCGTAGTAGAGACCCAGGGGGGCTACCGCCCCCCCAACAAATTTTTTTTTAGTGTATATATATACGAAAAATATTTTTTGCTCTTCCAAAAAGTATTTTGAACCTCCCCAAAAAATATTTTCGCCCCCCCAAAATGACTTTCCTGGGTCCGCCCCTGTTCAGAAGGCTAATGTAATGTGTATACTTCTTTTGTGTTGTGTGTATAATGTAGGTTAGATTGCAATTGGAGGCACTTTTGGGGGAGAAATCAAGGCTTGCAAATGAGAACACAAGCTTAAATAGGGAGAACCAATGCCTTCGGCATCTAGTGGAGTACCACCAGTTTGCCTCTGAAGGTATGTCTGCTTCTTATGAGAATTTACTGAGAGGAATCGGTATGAGCTTGGATTCGCCAGATGATGAGCAAAATGATGGGATTGAAGGCAGAGAGTTGGAAACTTCTCATCCTAGAGATTTATTAGGAGTCTTCAAATGCCTTGACGAGTGCTACGACGAATATTAGCAACAACAGAAAACAAGAGTGATTGAATTGATCTCAAAATGTAGAATAAACAAGTATGTTCATAGGAGAACCTGTGAACATGTTTTACTTCTTGTTATCCGTGGCTAGCCAAATTTGCTATTCATAGAAATCTGTCATGTTTATAGCAATCTGAATGCAAACTCTTGTACTAACAATGCCTCTCTCTTGTACTAATATACTAAATTTGCCTCTCTATTGTGGCAAAACCCTAGTGAAGGTTTATAGTTTATTGCAGAGTGCTTTTTGAAAAGACAAAAAACACTTGAATTTTAAAAAAACAATTCTTACAAGTCATTCCAAGCCAATATAATATGCTCACGCGCTTCTCACAGTCTCTCAGTTGGCAGAATGCAACGGTTTGGTTGAAGATTTTATCAATAGTTATCATCTGTTTGGAACAAGATTAAACAAAAAAAGAATAATGTTTCACTGAATTGAGGGGGGGTTTCTGACAAAAGATGCAAAAATTGACATTAAGTTCTTTCCAAGTCATGCATTAACGCATATATATACAGAGTATTATGCTTCCTGCATCATACCATTGTTCTCTTAACTACCGAGAAACTGCAAAATTATGAACCCCTTTACACCAAGGGCGTCAAAAGGTAGTTAAGTCAATCATTACTATCCCAACAACGAAATAGCCAGTTGAGTTATCAATCACATGTCAACAACTTGAGAATTAAGAGCTTTTCTTCCTTTTGCTACAACTTGGTGCATTTTTTTGTCCAGCCTTTGGTTGAGGAGAAGGTTTAGGAGCACAGTGACCATCACCGCCACAGTTTTCCCCATGTGTCTTTAGAGCTAGGTTAGGTGATGCAGCAGCGGCCATTATTTGAGATAGATTTGTAAGAACCATCATATCTTTCGGCTTTCCATCGACACCATTCATCTTCTCGTACTGTACATATGGACAAATAACAGTCATTTTACAGGGGCATAGCTAGGAGTGGCGAACTCTGAGCAGACCCACCCCAAGTTTTGTAAAATAAAAATTTTCATGTGTAAAAATATACATGAATGCATTATATTCCCGTCACACCCCAAATTCAAATAAATTGGGGTCTTGGCTACACTACTACATTTACCTATTCCAAAAAAAAGTTGAGATAAATAAGTTCGGTTAACAGTACAAAGATTTGTTAAACTCACAGCTTCAATCTTCCCAAGAGCATATTCCAATTTCTTGGCAAGTTTAGAGTTTTCCTCAGTCAGCACCTCAATCTAAAAAATATCCAAAATGAGACAACACTTGCAAAGGGTAAAATAAATTTTACTCCATGTGTAACTAATAAGTAATAAGCTAAACCTTTTGATGAGAGGCAATATACAAGCTTTTGTAGTTCAGATCCCCATAAGTAGTTTCACTTGACGAGGGTCGTTTGTATGCCTGTTCAAGAAAGATAAGGATTGTACTTCAAAAAGTTTCAAGGAGTACTACGTAGTATATTGAACCACTGAGAATAAAAATTGATCAAAATGTCTAATCAGTAAAGGAACTCAAAAAGTTTATCAAAAAATTCTTACAAACTGTTCAAGGAGTACTACGTAGTATATTGAACCACTGAGAAATAAAAATTAAAACACACTTACACACGCACCTTTGATTTTTCAAGTTCTTTTGCGGTCTTGTAAAGGAACTCAAATTTCTCTTTCGTGCTTATCAGTTCTTCAGTTGGATTGGCACTAATCTCCTCATCGTGTTTTCCATCACCTTTATCAATTTCATCCATAACTTGATCAATGTGTGCATGTTCTTTAGAGCATTCAGGGTCTGCAACAGGTTCTTCAGAGCAATCAGGTTCTTCAGGAATTTCCTCCACAGTGTTCTTATCGGTAAGATCGATTTCCTCGACAACAGGTTCTGCAACGACTGGTGAGGTGAGCATTTGAAGCCGGCCAGATCTTCTAACATTAGACTCATTACTGTGCTTAGATTTTATCATCTTTAAAGTTGGTGTCGATAGATTTAATGCCTTGTTGTGGTTAGATTCATCAGCCTGCATATATTCATTTTAAGTTTTCTTATTACATTTGAGAAAAATAAAAACAATTCTCAGCTGCTGAGACAAACTTCAAGGCATAATAACTGAAAAAAATCATAACTGATTAACGCAAACACCAATCTAGAATCTTGATACTCCCTCTTATTTCAGTCAATTTACATATTTTCTCAAGTTTTCTCTTAAATGTAAACTTAGAGAAATGTCTATGCAATTCAGGAATACACAACTAAATAAACCATCCAAGCCTCATTTCAGGGCTCCTTTTGGATTGAGGAACCTAGGTTACACACAGTAAACTTTAAAAATAACCTAGATTCGGAGAAATAGAATTGTGGATGTTGTTTGGATAATCTTGATTCTGCCTACGTAAAAGAAACTAAAATTGTTTTCTGGGTTGTAAATGGAAAATACAAGTTAACGTTCACACTCATTAATCCCCATTAAGGGGGTAACAAAAAGTCCAAAACCGAATGAATCCTGATTGTAGAGAATGGTGTGCTATAGCCTCCTCCTAGTGTGGTGTTTGTGAGTAGTGTGTAGAAAGACCTGAGCGGGAGACGGATATACGATCCTAACACTGATGAACGGGATGATCAAATGAATGAAAGATTGAAGTCAGTTAAATTAGGTTAATAATATCAATTAAGTTTTCAAACGGAATGAATCGAACTATTAATTACTTATATTTTCAACACACAGACCACTGGTTTTAGGCCAACATCAAGGAAACACACAATGACGGACTCCATGGAAGGAGAAAAGGCGCATGCATTGTACATATGGGAAAAGAATGAAACATGGAATAGATTTTCAATTCCAAACATATTCGGGGTATTATATCCAAGATTTGTACAAAAAAAAGAACCTTGAGTCTCAAAGCTTCTTTTACGCCCTTCCATTTCTTCCCCATTGAAGATGAAAAGGACTATTCAGAGCTGCTAAATGCTAATCCCTCGAGACTTTGATTCCGTTAAGACTATTATGATATCTAATCTTGTAGTGTCAGATAGGACCTCAAACTTAAAAAAGAATGTCAAATAAGGCCATATCTAGGATGCTCTGTACTGGCGACGCCATTTGGGCGGTTTCCGGTGGAATTTTTTTATGAAATTTTTTGAGAATCTTATTCATTAAGTCTAGTTTACTCATATCAAATTTGAACTAAAACTTCAACCGGGAAGGTATACAAATGAATTCTTGAAGATAACTGCGCAGTTAAAAGAGCAGTTATCTTCAAGAATTCATTTGAATGCCTTCTCGATTGAAGTTTTAGTTCAAATTTGATATGAGTAAACTAGACTTAATGATTAAGATTCTCAAAAAAACCAACAAAAAAATATACCGGGAACCGTCCCAAATGGCGTCGGACGGACAGAGCATCCTAAATATGGCCTTATTTGAAATTTTTTTCTAAGTTCGAAGCCCTATTGACCCTTATCCCTACTCTAATATATAGAGTATGAAATTGAGGAAATGTAGGGTGGATGGAATAAGTAACCTTTTTTTAAGAGTTGATCAATTGTAAAGGTTTAGTAAATTAAGGAAATCTAGATTTCCTTATATGAAATTAAGAAAATGTAATTTGTCACATTTGATTAGTATCTAAGTATTACCCCAAGTGAATATAGTCGAAAATGGCATTTTCTATTCATTATTTTTCTTGACAATACACATGACATTTTTAGGGCTAATCGACATGACATATTTCATTGATACTTTTCAGCAAGTCAATATGTCAACAAAATATTTATCAAGATGAAATTTTATCCATGTGACATCTGACGATGGCATTTAACTTGATGTTTTTATTTCAAATTATGACTAAAGAATGACAATATAATATCATTATGATGACATTCTTGATTCGGAATTGACATTAATCGTTGAGTTGAATGTCTGATGAGTTTTTTATACAGTAATAATTGTTGTACACAAAATTTGTACATAAAATCATACACTACATGTGTACATAGACATTTTGGCATAAAATCTTATCCCTTTTCAAATGAATTGTGTGTGCACAATTTGTGAACGAACTTTGTGTACAAATGTAATTTTTCTTCTTTATAAGAGATTTTTTGCATCAACTTTTACATCTACTCCTATGAGATTAAACTGAAAAATTATAATCCTATTTTTTCACTTTACTGTGTGTATTCTTATTTAGTTCATTTTCTCAAGAATAAACTCGTGCTCAGATCATTTTCTATATTGGAAAGTTCTACATGGTTAGATGAATTGCATTTTTTGGTTTATTTTTTTTATTTCTTATCATTTTGGATAATCAGATACTTCATATAATGTTCAGGCTCATAGAAGTAGGGGTGGACTCGGGTCCGGGCCGGGTCGGGCCTAGGCCCGGGCGGGCCGGCGATTCAGGAATGGTGGACCCGGGACCGGCCCGGGTAGCCACCGGGTCCGGGCCGGGCCGGGTCGGGCCTCCGGTTTGGATTTTTTTTTTTTGCTTTCCTAACCCCCCCCACCCCCACCCTTCCAAACCCCCCCAAACCCATCCTACCCATCAAGCCCAACCCGAGTGGAACCCCAAAAATGAAAAAAAAAAAAAAAAACAATTTGGCCCGGGCCCGGGCCCAACCCGGCCGGTTCACCAAATTTGAGACCTGAGCCCGCACCCACCCTACCCCCGAGCCTAGGCCCGACCCGGACCCGAGAATCGGGCCGGTCCCTGTCCCGCACAGTAGTGGGCCGGGCCAGTCCACGGGCCGGGTGGCCCGACCCGAGTCCAACCATACATAGAAGTTATTTAATGTGGTTCTTGTTTAAACAATTGTTTTCATAAAATTGTATCATCCATATGAAATCTATATATTTATAAATCAAAAGAATTCAATTATAAAAGTCTAGTAGTCTAGTGGTCTACTAATATTTTTTTATCACAATTCAGTTACAATACAACTCTAACTGATATGACAGAGTAGGAGTAGGCTTATTGGTTTGGTATAAGCGAACCGAACCGAACCAAACCAAATTAAATCGAAGCGAAACCGGACCAAATTAAATCGAAGCGAAACCGTATGTAATTTAGTTTGAGTTTGGTAGTATTTCTTCCAAACCGAATCAAACCGAATCGGATCGATAAAAACCGAACAGAACTAAAGAATTTCAATAAAACCTTCGTCTATTATTAATAAATAACAAATCAAAACCGAATCGAAGCGAACTAAATCGAACCAAACCGAATCAAACCGGAAAAATAGTATGATTTTTGTTTGATACTAATTCTCCCAATCTGTTCCAATTCGAACCAAATCGAAACTGATAAAAACTAAACCGAAAATCAATATGCCCACCCCCATGATAGAGAATGGCTCCTATGATACTTTTAAAAATTTAGAAAAAGTATCCTCACTAAGTAATTAAAAATTGTCAATTATTATGATTATGAAGTAATATACTCATTCAGCCATAAAAATGTTGCTTCGTTTTGGTTACGTTGCGGCTTTGGCCATAAATTAAAAAAATACCACCATTGCGGCCCAATGCGGTTGTGGTGCTACCAACAACCACAATATTGTGGCCGTATCAGACATTGCAATCCACATTTTAAATCAATGTACCTCAGATGAGTACAGGTTGTAGACTTGTAGACTTGAAAGCTAGTCATAAAAAGATAGGTGGTGCTCAACGTTTTCCCTCTAGAATCAGCCAACACAGACAAACAGAAGTGGTGGTGGTGGGGGGGGGGGGGGGGGGGGGCATCTAATGATTAAACAAGAAGTGAAAGACCCTTCTTTTCTTGGAGAGGTGGGATGGCTGGTGGCTTATTGCCAGGGAAAGCAGCTCGGGAGATATCAACCAAGGCTTTGAAGCTATATGGTTCGTGCATAGAGATCTCAGATAAAACCTTCCTGTTCAGCTGCACATTTTCCTTCATCAGCCCATGCATAAAATTGCCATAGTTCACCTGTGAAGTAAAAGTGTGTCATTATCTTCTTAATCATCATTATGTATCAGTAAATCTGATCTAAGAATTACCACTCTGTCCTATTGTGTACGATACACTTTCCTTTTGGGGTTGTCCAAAACATATAAATATTTTTCTAAATTGAGCTCCCCAAACATTTTTTTTGCATTTAAAAAAACATTTTGTTTGCTCATTTTATCCCTTTATCCATCATTTGTGCTATTAAAGAATGAAAGTTTCATTCTTACTTGTTCTTTTTGGAATTTAGAATGGTAAGACAGTGCCACAATACTCTATATTTTCTGAAAACTAGCATCAAACCAGAATGTATCTTACATTAAGACTTTTTTCAAACCATCATATTTTTTCTTATAATAGGACTTATTCACTCATAAAAGAAGTTTTAAACTATTAACTGCTTTCATTCTAAATGAGTCATGCACTCCTTGTTTATTATATACATGATTCATGTTTTACTCTTATATGCCTCAGTTTCTTTACAATGAGGATTTTCATCAACTAACAAGCAAAAAGTATATTCATAAACATAACTCTAATCACTTCAAATTTAATTCCATCATGCGGAATACTTATATAGTTATATTATCCATTCATTTCATCCACCTTTAGAGCTGTTTGGCTCATGGACATAGAGGAAGGGAAGGGGAGGGTGATAATTATTTGTTTAAAAATATCAAAATTCAGCTAGTTGGAAAAATAGTCAAGATAAAAAGAACTTTACAGAAATACATGATCTAACTAATCACATAGTTATTTCCACTTAAAAGCTAAGAAATAGAGATAAAATACTAAAACAAAAAACAAATTCTCCCCACTCCTGTTTGAAATCCCCTAAGCTAGCCAAACAAGCCCTTAGTTTGTACACTACCCGAGTCATTGTTCTGTTATCACTAATTCAATCAAGTAGAAATGAATTTAAAGATAACTAAGTGAAAGAAGCCCTTAGTTTGTACACTACCCGAGTCATTGTTCTGTTATCACTAATTCCTTTAAGCCTTACAGCTGGATTGCATGCAATATTATTGACTCGACTAGATTATCAGATTTAGAGACAAACTTGGTCCTTTGATTTTTATTTCTTAACCCATCATCAGCATTAGGGATCAATGGTAGAAAAGTGTTTCCATCAACATCATCATCACATTGCAAGTGAATAAGGAATATGAATAAATCCTTCACATAATCCTTTAGGACATGTTTGGTTGATTGGTTAGGGGAGTTTAGGAGGGGCGGGTTGGATTGATTTATGCTTTACTAATCTATCTCTATTTGTTAGTTTTAAACTAGAAATAAATATACAATTTGTTGGATCATGTATTTCTATATAGTACTTCCTCCGTTCTCTTTTAATTGCAACATTGGACTTTTTGCATTGTTCACATTTTCTACTTTGACTATATTTTATTTATTAATGTATTACGTAGTATAAATTAAATTTTTAAAAAATATTGTTAAATTCTTATTTTTAAATTTTAGAAATTACTCTAAATAGGAGCAAAAACGTTTTGAAATTCCAAAATAGGAATATCATGTTTTTTATTCCCTGAATAGGAGTAATCTGCCAAGTTTGAAAAAAATGTCATGTTTTAAAACTTAGTAATGTCAAACTTGGAAGAAATTTACTCCTATTCAAGGAATAAAAAACATGATACTCCTTATTTTGGAATTTCAAAACTTTTTTACTCCTATTTAGGGAATTCTCTCTTTAAATTTTCAAGCCATCTAATTACATACCGAGTAAATTTAAAAAAATGAAATTCAGTAGAACTAGAAGGCATACATGATACATCGAAACACTCCGAAAGCCCCAGAACCATACACAGACTTATAATCTGGTTGCTGCTGATATATTTCAAATTTATTTCAATTTTGGCAAGAAAAAATTAGTACAAAGCATGCACTACCATAAAGTGAAGCATGCTCTCTTCCGAAGCACAAGAACCATTGAAAAAAAACAGTTTCCAGATATGAAATAATTATCAGCTCAAAGCCTGTCCAGTGAGGCATTTATTCAAACACAGAGTGGACGCAGCCAAGGTAATAAGATGCAAACAACTTTGCAGAGAAAGGGTGTGTGTATGGGGGGCGAGGTAAATAAGGGAAAAGACTTACACCGTGCTGGCGGGTGCCGGCGTTGATCCGCTGGATCCATAGGGAGCGCATGTCGCGCTTCTTATTGCGGCGGTCTCTGTAGGAGTACTGAAGCGCCTTCTCCACTCTCTCCCTTGCTATTCTGATACAGTTCTTCGCCCTCCCTCTGAACCCCTTCGCTAGCTTCAACACCTCCTTCTTGTTCATCTCTTCTTTGTCTCGTTCTCCAGCTTTTTGGATGGAGTATTGAGGATGGTTAGTAAAGAAAATGTTTTGAGATGTGTTAGGGTAAACACTCGTTCGGAGGGAAATAAGAAAATCAAAATAACATTAGAGAGCTTTTGATTAACTCTTTCATATACAGTTTGATTTGATTATTTAATACTCCGTATATGTTTTTGTGCATTGTTTAAAAATATTTTGCATAAATTACGTAAAATATTTTACATAAGGGGTGTGACGAGCACTTTGTCGTGGTGTGTACTCAAAATAAATATCAATACAACGATTATACGTAGTATAATGAAGTAAGGTTCGTATCCACAGGGAAAAGAATATTTTTCTTCTTAATTAATTACTAACAAGGGGGGTTTTAAGTTTGATTTGATTTAATTTAATTAACACTAAGATGAATGACTTATATGAGTTTAATTAATAGAGATGAGGACCTGATTTTGCTTTTATCCACTTAATGAAATGTTCGTCGATCCCGGATATATCTTTAACTATCTTCCTCGATCTCGAATACTCAATCGAGGAGTATCTGCATTTCATCGAGGGTAGTTATTAATAACGAGACACGTTCATTAATAAAACTTACTACCGAGTCAATATAGAGGGTAGTTATTAATAACGATAGTAGCAATAAACTTAATATGAAAACGGTTGAGATTGATAATCTCAATACAAACGGTTTATTGGTTAAATCAATATAATTAATTTCCCTTAGATTATTAACCATGAGACACATGCATTAATAATCCAAGATTACTACCGTTGAAAGAACCGAATTAATAACAAGCGTATTAATCGATTGATTATAGTAATAATTAATATATGAAACAAAACTAGTTGAATCTTTAAGTAATGCTCAAAATATTAATATGAAATATGAATAGGAATTAATTAATATTCTAGGAAAAAGATTAAAGAAAATAACTCACAACTTTATAATTCATTAAGTTTCAAAATAGCAAAACCAATATGGAAGAGTTTAGCTCCTCATTTGGAGACTATACATGATAAAGTAAGTATAAAATGTATAGGAATTGGTGATTTTATTGTGAAGGAAAAAGAGTGTATTTATAGGTGTTTGGAGGTGGCAGGGACCGCAGTGTTGTGTACCCGGTCGGATATATAAGTGATGGAGTATATGGCCCGGGAACCCCCGGCCCACAGACTCCTACTACTCCAGCAAAGGCCCAACAGGCCCAGAAGGCTCAACAGGCCCAAATCACAGCGCCTAGAGTACCAAGCAGCCCGCACTACGCGCCAGGGGTGCCTTCGCCCCCCTGGCCGAAGGCTCTAAACTCTCACAGAACGGGGTTCTCAAGCAAACTAAGAAACTGGGAGAAAACGGCAAAAACAGTAGCCCTCGGCACCAGGGTGCCATCGGTTTGAGGAGCCCTCGGCTGCTGCTCTACAGCCGAGGGCACCTCTCCCGACATGATATCCACCTCACATGCGTACAGATCACCGTACCCTGTACACACGTCCCATCCAACAGCCGCATTAAATGCGGCCACATGCGGCTGCCAACGCCAACCGGTTGAGGTGACCCCTCGGCCAATAGGCGCTTGACACGTGTCCCTGTCCGGCATTTATTGCTACTATAAATAGCACCCCATTTCCCCATTTGTAACCACGCTGAAAACGCTCCACATTTATAATACACTCTTTCTCTCTACATTTACTTGCTCTGACTTCTCTCTAAGTTATTCCCAGCAATAACCCTTCGGATATATACCCCCCGGGTAGACTATCCATCATTTGGTGCTCTCGTTGAGAGGTCGAACAAATCGAGTAAGAAACCCTCCCCCTTCGCCAAACACTAGCCCTCTACCAAAAATGGTGAGAACAACACGTGCCAACTCCAAAAACGTAGAAGACAAGAACCTGGCCCTCGGCGACGTCAACGCCCCCGAAGCCTCTCACAGGGCTCCCGAGGGCGGTGTCATCGCTGGGCTGGAACAGGCGGCTGTCGACCTACGCCTTCAGATCCAACAGAATGCCCCCAATGCCCGCCTCGGCATCGAGGCCAAGAAGAAAAACCGGAGCGATGACCAAGTCAGCCCTCCGGTTCTCACCATCGACGTGCAATCGGCGCTCTCCGCCTTCATCCAAACGCTCACTCAGAACCCGGGTGCCTTCGGCACCCTGGCTCCGGCTCACCCCCAGGTTGGGGAGAACATCATACTTCCCCCTCTGCCACACCCCTTCGGAAACCCCACCAATCGGGTTAGGAACGACGAAGGGGTAGTGGCCCAAGATACGTCCTCCCAGGAAGTTCAGTCTCGGGACCGCCACAATGACAATAGAGAAAGGCCCCGCACTTCCGCCCTCAACCGGCTCGGAGGAGGGCCAGACCGCCGAGGGGTCCAAGACCGCCTCGGAGGGAAAGCACTCCAAAGGCCCCAGGAAAGCGGAGGGTCTGTCTCGAGGGCCGACGAGGAGCGTCCCCCTCGGGACAAAGGCAAGGCACCCCTTCATGCCAATGATGCTCGCCACCAGATCAACCAGGCCCACTCTGTAATACCCGAGATTAAGATAAGAGGATTAATAGTACTACTCATACCAACAGAGGTGCATCTCCTTTTAAGGGAGCTCATCACCCAAGAACTCCAAAGTTAAGCGTGCTTGCACGGGAGTAGTCTTGGGATGGGTGACCCCCTGGGAAGTTTCTCAGGGCGCGCACGAGTGAGGACAAAGTGCGCGGAAAAGGCTAGTGGCGGTTTGTGAGGACAGTACTATTGGTCTAGAGTAACTACCTCGGCTCCCTGCGAGGCCGGGGTGTTACAGGTGGTATCAGAGCAACCCTGCGACAGTGTACTGACCCGTTAGATATCGGGCGGGCATTTAGCGGGGCAAGATTCTAGGGTTTGATTGAGATTGTTAAGGGCGCAACGAGGACGTTGCGATCCTAAGTGGGGGTGATTGTAATACCCGAGATTAAGATAAGAGGATTAATAATACTACTCATACCAACAGAGGTGCATCTCCTTTTAAGGGAGCTCATCACCCAAGAACTCCAAAGTTAAGCGTGCTTGCACGGGAGTAGTCTTGGGATGGGTGACCCCCTGGGAAGTTTCTCAGGGCGCGCACGAGTGAGGACAAAGTGCGCGGAAAAGGCTAGTGGCGGTTTGTGAGGACAATACTATTGGTCTAGAGTAACTACCTCGGCTCCCTGCGAGGCCGGGGTGTTACACACTCGGCCCGGGTTCGTTCGCAGGGGGCGGAGACCCTCCCGAAGGATCCCCGGGACGAAATTATTGCGGCCCTCCAACGCCGGCTTGATGAAGTGGAGGCCAACAAAGCTCACGCCACCACCTCCACCCCTCATTCAGATCTCAAATACGACGCCATGATGGCCAAGATGGAGGAATTACAGAAGAAGGTGGCCGAGGGCTCCGGGGAACCCGTCATCCAGCTCTGGACCCGTACGCCATTTACCCCAAGGGTACTGGCGGCCCGGATCCCGGAAAAATACCGAAGGCAACACATACAGCCCTATAACGGGAAGACGGACCCCCAGGAACACTACAGCAAATATCAAAACAGCATGATGATGGTAGGGGCGTCGGACGAATATTTGTGTCGTTGGTTCCTCTCCACCGTAGAGGGGCCGACATACGAATGGTTCAACCGGTTGCCCGAGGGCTGCATTGATTCGTGGCAAGAACTCGCCCAGCGATTCTTGACACAATTTGCCGGGAGGCGTCGCACAAGGAAGCACTTCTCCCACCTCCTAACCATACGCCAGAAGAGGGATGAGACCTTTCGGGACTTCCTGGAGCGCTGGAGGACGGAGGCCGACAAAGTCGACGGTGCTGATGACGGGACCCTCCTGGCCCTCCTACAAACCGTCCTCCGCACCGGCAACTTTTCAAGGAGCCTCATCATTGAACCCCCCCGCGACTACATAAGGGCTTTGCAGCGGGGGGACCGATATGCTGAGGCCGAGGAGGTGGAGAAATATCACCAGCATCCGGATCAGCAGCCCCCGAGGGCTGACAACAAAAACAATCGAGGGTCGGGGGCTCCTCCAAATCACCCCAAATCTTCAGGACCCTCTGATGATCGCCCTCGGCAAGGCCAAGCCAAGCCCGGGGGAGGTTATAAGAGCAATCCTAAGACTTGGGCACAGCCCATTCTCCTGGACCGCCCTCGGACACCATTGACGCACCCCGTCAGCATCATCATTGATTTTGCTGAGGAGAGGGGCCTCGTTGAGCGCGATTCTCGCGCGCCCCCGGAGGTACATGCTATCAACCCTCAGTTCTCATACTGTCGCTTCCATCGGCACCAGGGGCACAGAACCGATGACTGCCATCAGCTGAAGACGGCCATCGAGAGATTAATACAAGCGGGACACCTGTCCCAATTTGTTCAAAGCCCTCGGCAGGAGGGACCTTCTCATCAGGGTCCTCCCCGAGGGCACCACACGAAGGTGAACGCTTGGGTGAACCCGAATACCATCCCCCTCGGCAAGAAGAGGGAGATCGGAAACTTGGAGGAGGAAGAGGAGGAGTACCCCCACTACCAGGAGAAAAAACGCCACATCCTCATGATCACCGGCGGCAATACCAGGGGCGATTCCACCAGCCAGCGGAAGAAGTGGGCTCAATCGCTTTACGTGGGGGAGGTCAGTTATATGCCCCCGGTGAAGCGACTGAGGGAGGAACCCATCACCTTCACCAACGCAGATCTCCCTCCTACTTCTTCTCCTCACAGGGATGCCTTGGTGATTCGGACTGAAATAAATGACACCATCATTCACCGAACTTACATTGACACGGGCAGCTTCGTCAATGTAATGTACCTCAGCACCTTCAGAGAGCTGCATCTGGAGAGGGGGTCCCTTCGGCCCATTAAGACCCCTCTTGCCGGCTTCACCGGCGACACTATTGATTCCGAGGGGGTAATAACCCTCCCGGTGATCTTCGGCGACGGGCTTCATAGAGTCCAGCTCGAAGTGGAGTTCGTCATCGTTAACATCGACTGCGCCCACAACATTATCCTCGGCCGGCCAGCCCTGGAGGACCTCGAGGCCATCATCTCCATGAGGCACCTCTGCCTCAAGTTCCCCGCCGAGGGGGGCATTGGCTACTCCCGGGGGAATCAGAAAATCGCCCGCGCC